CTATCACAGAAAAAATTGGTACTTTCTTGTAGTGTTCCAAAAATATCTTCAATTCGGGGGATCGGGAAACATTCTGGCGTTGACCCACGAGTTTAGGGTAACTTAGTAATTTATGCATAGGCATAATGTATTGGTCATCCTTTTGAATGGGCACCAATGGTGATCCCCATTTACTGTATCGGCATTTACTGATAATCCCTTTGTTTTCCCAGTCTTTTAATATTTGTTCAAGATATTATTTATTAACTTTATCCGTGATTCATGCAAATTCCCCTAATATTAAGCGATTATTTATTAAATACAACATTACCATTCCTTCCAGTGGACCAATTGAATGCTCATTCAATGTCTTTGATAATATTTTATTGATAGGAAGGGATATATCCTTGATAAAAATTTTAAAATTTTTTATATAAAAAGTATTGATGTTAAATCCTAAATATTTTATATAAAAAGGTATATGTTGTTCTTTTTAAATATGTTTTCTAATCATTTTATTTATTTAATCGCTTCAATTTTCCTCCTGAAAAAAAAACTGAAAAACTCCAAGTAAGTTTTTAAAAAAAAAAATATTTCGTAATTATGTCGAAATCGCTTTTCAGCATGGCATAGATCATCTATCCTAAGAATATCAGACAATTTTACCATCACCTTTTATACTATCCTTTTAATTTAGATTAAATATGTATACACTTTTTGTTATATATTAATAGAAATTACGGGAAAGTTCATACTCTATGCATACTAGAATATGAATTCCTGTAAAATTAGGCTTTTCGAAATTAAACCTAGTTATACGATGCATACTTCCGACTTTGCTAACCCCCACCCCCTCCAGACCACATTAAATATGTGATAATTAGGGCACAGCTGATAACCCAAATTACAATTTGCATTTAACAAATTATTAAAATAAATTTAACAAAAATAAATATCGTAATGGAAATAACTAACCCCATTTTCCATTTAATGATGCGTTTGAGGTATTTTGACGTCTACACTAACGATAATATTACCTTCAAATTAAAAAATAATAATAAAAATTGCATGTTTTTAACTTATTGTAAAACCACTTAGTAAATGCTTAATTAAGAGAAATGTGATTGAAAAAGCTTAAATTATCATTATTATTATAATATCATAATATTTTAATCTTTCCAGATTTTAAAAATAATAAAAATTTGTATATTATTTCCTCCGTAATAATTTTTTAAAAAAAATGATAACTAGATAGAAAATCTCTTCTTCAGAACCAGGGATATTCCTTCCTAAATCTCATCTTCTTGATGAAGAATTAGTGGGAACCTCGGACGATTATTTTTCTATCAAAATTTGTTTTGAAACAGAAGATATGGCTCTGTCCTAAATATCAAAAATATAAATTAATAAATTTATTAACTTTAACGAGAAAAGGAGATATATAAGCTATTTTTAATATAAAAAAAAAATAAAATAGTGACTAAATAATTTTTTTTTAAAGTTAGAGAAGTTAACTAAATTTTAGCTTAAGGTTTATAAAGATGTGAACGTAAACAATATTATAATTTATTTTTTCAAATTTTAATAATAATGGGTAGTTATATAAATCAAATTGGGAAATGGAAAGTATAAAAATTAATACGAATTACAAATTTACAAAAAAAAATTAAAAATTATAGTGGAAGATTTTGGTAATGTTTCATCATAATTTCATTAAGTTAAGAAAATTTATAAATTTTGAGGTTTTTTTTAAAAACATATTTAGGTCACATCACAACCTAAAACATTAAATAATTTCAACAAAAACTTCCAGAACATGATCTTCATTCAAATGTTGCTATACCAACCTCAGCTCGGGGTGGGACGCGCGTTTTTATTATAACAAATCCCGCCGCTTTAAATTACCAAACATCATAGCTTTTAGAGTGAAAATATTTGATTTCAAATTCTTATTCTATTTTTTCAAAGCTTAATAAGGTCTTGTTTAGGCTGGATTAATAGTGATCCAATCCGATAGGATTTAACAGATGATCGATTTTTCAAAAAATTTTTTATGAGATCAATATTTTTTTTTATATTTATATAATTCTATTCATGATAATAATAACCTAAGTTTCGTTGATTTCAATAAAGAAAAATTGATCTCATTAAAAGATTTTTAATATCGTTCAGCTGTTAAATAGTATCGGATCAGATCCCACAATTAATCCAGCAATGCGGCTTGAAAAATATATATTTTTATATCGGAATAAAAAACCCAATTTAAAACGTTTTTCGCAAAATGAATTTCGAACCCTGACATATTGATTTTTTGTCAATGAATGATGAATGCGAAAGAATTCTATCCTTTTTTGAAAATGTTTACACTACTATAAAATAAATAAGTGTGAAATTCATAGTGAGATACAATCCACCATGTTTCAACAGCTGATTGATTTTTTAAATCTGTTTGTGAGACCAATTTTTCTTTATTAAAATCAATACTTATTAGATTAATATCATGAATGAAATTTAAGATAAAATTAATATTAATAAGGAAAAAATTGGACCTCATAAATAAATCGTGACGGATCGCATCATCCCACTACGAATGCAGCGCAGGAAATATATTCCAACCTTTTTATTTTTTTTATTTTTAAGATAAACTTAGCCTTCATTTTAATCTAATTTTTTTTAATCGTGATATTTTAGCCAGACAAGATAAGAAGAATGGTAAGGAAGTTATTATATTAGATTTCGCGCCAAAGATCGGGCCTACGTTTTGTTGATTGTCAGAACTCATCATGCCAGATCTCGAGGACTTTACCAGCTCCCTATTAAAGTCGAGTGCTAAAAATTTCGTATTTTTTTTTTAAATATTATTTCTGCATCTTAAGATTGGTTTATGTTACCCAATGAATTGCTCATGGAAGGCATGAGGCTTACAATTTTATTTTTTAAAAAAAATAGAATAAAAATGACCAGAATTAATGTTATTAAACGGCTCGATCTTTAAAATGGGTAGCCCACTATTTACTATTTAAGCCAAAAGATATTATGCGAGTCCAGAGATTTTGCTCATGGATGGCAGAAAGGTTTAGGCATCTATAAAATCGTGAGGCTTGCTTTATTTCATTTTGGTTAGGGTTATAATTTAAAATTGGATAAAATCGAGCAGTTTAACAACACTATCCCTCCCAGAATAGATGGCAAAAAATCTTCAGTATCGACAAGTTGTTGCTGTAGACCTTTTTTTTCAAAAACGAGTATACTATCTAATAATTAATTATTCGTATTCATTCCGTTAACCTAGTTTATTAATTCACTATTCGTATATGTATAAATACCAGAGACCTGCTGGATTTTTTTTTAAAATATATTTTATTTATTTTCGATTTTTACAGCTAATAATGGCGATTTTAAATATTTTATGTTAAAATATACGGCCCGGCCTGGATATTTTTTTTAGAAAAATTTTCAAAACCGGCATGGGTATATTTAAAAAAATTAAAATACGGCCTGATCTGGCCGGGCTTAGGGACGGGCCTGCAGGTCTCTGATAAATACTAATGGAATACGAATAGTTATATTATTCGAATAAATCTAATATTGTTAATATGATGAGTATTTGTTATTACCGCAAGGGATGATATCATAAAACTAATATTATAAAAATGATCAAAGAAGAGATGACATCAATTAATTCACTTTTGTATTTAATTTATTTTCTGATTTCCACTTTTGTCGTTGATAAAAAAAAATATATCATATTTATAAAAATTTATTAATATATTTTATATTAATTATATTTTTACTATATATGACGTATAATTGTTTTTTTTATCTAAGATAAAACTAATGAAGGTGAGGAAAAATATAAAAATAGAATTTAGGAGAAAGGATATAGGATAAGGGATTTTTAAAAAGAGGATGTCTAAAAAAAGAAAATAGTAAATAAAGACTAGGAAGGGGAAGGGAAGAAAGAAAGCATAATGAGGCATGGAAGAAGATTAGTTGATGGAAGATATAAAACTTAGATAGTTAGAGTATCATCTAAAATTTATATAATATAGGGAAGACCGGGGTTATATTGTCCATAAAAAATTGAAGTGCTATAAAAAAAATAGATTAAGCAATTTTCCTAAAATGTTTAAAAGTAGTTTTATTCTTTACAAATATCACAGTAGAGATTAATATTTAAGAAGAAAATCTTTTTGTTTTTAATTAATATGAAATTTTTTTAATAAAATAATTTAAGAATTATGAAAAACACCCGGGGCACCTATTGTCCTTTCGCGTTACGTTATATAGCGCTTCTTTATTTGTAGATTTTTTTTTTTTAATTATTTAAAAAGTTAATAGTAAATTAATTTTTATACTTAATTTTATTTTTCTCCTAAAAAAAATTTTTCGACTGAACCTTAAAATGATGAAAAACTAAAAGTACACATATATTAATTTGTAGAAATTTACATTATCTAGATTTCTATAATTCTATAATTCTACATTATCCGGAATTCTAAAAAAACTATTACATTGTTATATTATTATTTTTAAGAGTGTGTGTTCCTACCAATGACATATAATAATATCTAGACTGACGATGCATACATTAAAAGTGTACATCTATGAAAACAGCTGAAGACGCCATTTCGTTTACCCATATCATTATTAAAAATTTTAAACGAGAGGCCAATTTATTCCTACGTCTGACGCAAACTTTATTTAAGAATCGCCTGAATTGAGATAATAAGGAAGCAAGTTATCAATTTAATAGTAGTTTTTAACATGAGAATAATTATTATACGAGTTTACAAAATGGCAGGTCCAGCTGATTTGCATTCAACGATGTTTTCAAATGCATTATTATGAATGCACCGTCAGTCTAGGTATTATTATATGCCGTTCCTACAGTTTTCATTTTTGAATAGACCTACTAGTGTTGTTAAAAACCCAGATTTGGGACAATTTTTTAAAACGAACCCGTTAAGATTTTAACCAAAATAAAAGTAATATTAAGTCTCTAAAGATTTTGCTCATGGATGGCAGTAGAGGTTTGGACATCTATTTGCCCAAAATCTGGAGGTTTTACATAATATTATTTTGGCTGAAATCTTAATCGGTTTAGTTTTTTATAAGCCCGAATCGGGCTTATCAACAACCCCCCCCCCCCTAAGATCCACTTGACTGAATGCAAATTTATATATACGTTGAGAAATAAATATATTCAATTATTAAAATTCGTAATTATTTTTTTTTATATTGGAATCATCTAATATTTGTTTAACCTTGTGCTGTGTAAATAAAGTTTAGATCAAATATGTATTCAAGCTACGACATTTTTTCTTTGAATAAATCCAACTTTACTTACGTATGAATGTTCGCACAAACAAGAAATTTATTTTTTTAAAAAAAATAAAAATAATATATTTATTAGTATATATATATATATAAATATGATTTTACAAAAATTAATTTTCAAACATCATTTAAAAAGGATAATAATTATTTTATTGATGAGTTCTTTGCAAAAATATTTTCTGGCGGCACTTTTTTTGTGTTCGATCATATACTTTGGATTCTTATATGACAAAAGTATTAAATATTACCATCACTGTAAATACTATTAAATAATTACTATACTATAAGCCCCAGAGGCGCCACCCTACCCATAACTCTAGGCAAAATTTTCCCTAAAGAAATAGAGAACTTATTTAGGGTAGTTATTTTTATATGACAAAAGTATTAAATATTACCATCACTGTAAATACTATTAAATAATTACTATACTATAGGCTTAAGAGGGCGCCACCCTATCCATAACTCTAAGCAAAATTTTTCGTAAAGAAATAGAGAACTTCTTTAGGGTAGTTTTTTTTTTCTAACTTTTTTCTGAAAATTCTTTGTATATTTTATTTTTGAGCAAAAATGGACAAAGGGAGTGTAGGGTAATTATTTTTACGAGTTTAAAATTATATTTTATGATAACTTACAAATTTGCTAAGAGGGTGGGAGGGTTCTCTTGCCATTGGCTACTTCTACATAAATTTAAATGTTTGCAAATTTTTTTATGTTTATAACTAACTTTCATTTCTAAAAAAAAAACAAAAGGCACACGAATACCTATCAATATTATCCTAGCGGATACCTTATTCGATATCACAAGCTCCAAAGTATGATTTCAAAAAGAAAACAATTTCAAAGATTTTTTTAAAGACATTTTTTTTTTGCCTTAAAGTTTGAGCAAAACAAATCTTTTGTGGAAGATCACAAAAATTAAATTTGTGATTTCATCCTTAAAAGATTTTTTTATGCAGAAAAATCACAAAAGGTTTGATTATAAAAAATTTGGAATTTTAAACTAAAATTTAATAAATCTTAAAAATATTTTCCTTTAAAAAATTCTTTAACTGCATTCATAATGGAATGATCCGATCAATGTCGTTTTAAAAGCTGATCGATTTTTTAAATAAATGTTTAATGAGATCAATTTTTATATATTAATTTTATCTTTAATTCCATTCATGATACTACGTTATTGCTTTTAATATAGAAAAATTGAGCTCACAAACAGCTTTTAAAAATCGATCAGCTGTTAAATCGCTAAGGATCGGATCCCACTATGAATGCCGCCTGATCAATAAGGATTTTTTATTTTAATGATCATTTCAAACTCTTCTTTTTTTTGCATATCGATTTAAAGCCACAATACATAGATTCTCCGGAATACACCTCAATAACGGACCAGCGCACTGAGTTGAATTCAACCGGAGAAGTACCAGGTGAAGATAGAGTAAGTTGGCTAAGGCATGCTTGCGAAACAGTATTCCCGTTACCTACAGTGAATGATAAATACACTCAGTTCCATCAAATTATAGACAAGGTGAGGAATGTCATGTATTGTTACGTGCCCAAGGCTTCCTCGACTTCTTGGAAGAGTCTTTTCATGGTTTCCAATAATTTAGCGTACAAAAAGTTTTTCGAAACTTCCCTCACTAACGGTGATTCCATAGGGCCTTACGTGGAGAGATATAGATTTAATAAGCTTTCGAATGTAACCCAAAATGGTAGTTTCGAAACAAAAAAATACCTGAAATTCGTTTTCGTGAGAAATCCCATAAATAGGATATTGTCGGCGTACAGAAGTAAGTTCGTATGGAAGAACAAATATTTCGTAAATCATTATGAGCGTTATATCAAGGTGCTAGCTCATCGCAATTCCAGTGAAATCAGCGATGAAAATTTCGACGTTATAAAAGCAATGTATGATAATAAGGAAGTTAATGTAACTTTCTTGGAATTTGTTCAATTTATTATAAACATTCCTTACGTTAGGGATGTGAAATTACAAGAATACCTGATGAATGAACATTGGAGACCCATTTCAGACATTTGTGCTCCGTGCACATACGGATTGGACTTTATCGGCAAACAAGAAACATTGGTCGAAGATGTGACTAAAATAATGGGGCTAACCACTTGGAACACGTTGAATTACAACCCATTTAAAACATTGTTTCCCCCAATCGACGATGATGCTGAAGGAGATATGAGTTCCAATAACTTGGAATCTGAGTCTAGCCAAGCTGTTACTTCAATTAATTTAAGACAAAAAAAAATCGTAATTCGTAATTTTACCGATTACGAAAAAGTTTTAATCGAATCTCTACCGGAGGATGTACTTATACGATTGATTAGATTATTTCGATATGATTACCTATTCTTTTACCCTTCAGATCCACTATACCTTAAATATTTACATCGACTGTAATGAATATGTCTATTATTTAATATTTATTTTAAAAATCACTATATTTGTGCAATGTAGTAAAATGTATTTTATTGACTAAAGTTTATATTCGTGGAAATAACGAATATGATTTTAAATCATTACAACGAATGTATATATTATAATATATTTTTTAAAAAAATAATAAATTCATACATAAAAGTTATCTACGTATTTGTTAATATTAGTTGATTTTTTTGTAAAGAGACAAATAGCACAGTAAGAACCAATGGGAAAGGGGGAGGAGATTTGTATTACCAATTGTTTAAAAATTTAAAAGGGTTATAAGAAAATAATATAAAGTTAACTATAAATCAATTACAAAAACTATAAAACTTGACTATTTTTTTTAAACAAATAAATTCTGATGCCAATATACTCCCCTAGACTCAACCCCATAAAATGAGATAATTTTATAAACGAGAGAAGCTGCAAAAGACTCTTTTTGAGAAGTAAAACATCTTTTACAAACCCAAACATTGACAATTATTATATTATTTAAAGTAACCTAGCTCACTCCTCACCTCACAAGAAAGAAAGAAAGAAAGAAAGAAAGAAAGAAAGAAAGAAAGAAAGAAAGAAAGAAAGAAAGAAAGAAAGAAAGAAAGAAAGAAAGAAAGAAAGAAAGAAAGAAAGAAAGAAAGAAAGAAAGAAAGAAAGAAAGAAAGAAAGAAAGAAAGAAAGAAAGAAAGAAAGAAAGAAAGAAAGAAAGAAAGAAAGAAAGAAAGAAAGAAAGAAAGAAAGAAAGAAAGAAATAAAGAAAAAAGGAATCCCCCTCTCTTCCCTTCTACTTCTTGAGAAAATACTAGCCATTCCTTATAGTGTATAGCGTGTTTTTATCAGAGACTTGCAAAGGTCATTATTTTCGACTTGGACAGTAAAAAAAAATTATTTATATTCAGGACAAAGCCTAGATTATTTTTAAAATTTCTTGATCAATTTACGATCTGTCCAGGCCTAGAATATTTAACAAATTTAGTTATTTCCTCTAATTTTAGGGCCTATATTATTGAAAATTATTAGCAGCAAATGAATATACCCTCAATTATGATTTTTATTTTCAACGGCTTTCCTATTTAATCGTTCAAGAATTACAACTGAAATATACATTTTCCTTTAACCGCTTAGAATAAATATTTGACAAGATGAAAAATATGGAATGATTCAGAACTTAATTGCCCAGCAAAAATCTAATCGTCTTAGGTATAAAACTGAAAAACTCAGATTAAAGAAATGAATCGCTCAAAAAAAAATAGGTAAAATTTTATGTAAAAATATCAATAGAATTCAGTAAAAATTCTTAGCTTTGAAGTCGTGGTTGGGCTTAGTACTAAATAGCCAAAAAAAAGTATAGGAATTTTCTTAAAAAAAACGAAAAAAACACATTCAAATAAAACAAAGATAAAATAAAATACGAAAAATAACAAATGCCACCAAATATTTAAAACAAACAAAAATAGGGTGTCCTGGTTGATTAGTCTATACTAAAAAGCAATTAATTATCCAAATTAAGCCGACTTAGGGCACAGGCCTAAATATTTTTTTTTAATTCTAAGCAATTGTGGAGAAAAAAATTTAAATAAGAGAAGAGAAGAGAAGAGAAGAGAAGAGAAGAGAAGAGAAGAGAAGAGAAGAGAAGAGAAGAGAAGAGAAGAGAAGAGAAGAGAAGAGAAGAGAAGAGAAGAGAAGAGAAGAGAAGAGAAGAGAAGAGAAGAGAAGAAGGAACTTTCATCTAATAAGTTTGATCATGGCAGGATAATAGAGGGAGTTTAAGAGTAAATAAAAGGAATTTGAACCCGGACCCAAAACCCTGGTATTTTAGTTAAACCCAAACCTGGGCTCTTTTTAAAAGTATAGGGTTCTAGGTACTAAAATAAAACTTTCCCTTCAAATTCATGAAAAATTAATTTTAAAAAAAAAAATTTTTTTTTCGAGGAATTATTTTTTATTTTTCTTACCATTTTTCGAAATTTTCTGGTTTTTATACTTCCGGTGATAATTGTAAATTTATTTTATATCAATATTAGAGAGTTAAATATTGTGAATTTTGTAGTGTAGATTATTTTATTATAAATGATAATGTATTAATATACTATGTAATGGGATTACCGCTGCCTATCTTATGAATTTTAGAAAGTGAAAAATTGGAATGTTGTAGGCGCGCAACCAACGGGAGGAGGTGGTGGAGGCTTTGCAAATTTGCCTGCTCTCGTAAAAATCATCTTGAGCTAATAACCCCCCCCCTCACACACCCAATTAGTAAATTTTACTTTAAAATAAAGACTAACCAATTTTATAATATTAAATAAATAATAACCCAAAATTATTTTTATAAAAATCTAATATAGCTTAAGTCCTACACATGAGGACCTAATGATCTCCAATTTATTTGGAAAAAACCCACATATAATGCCCCCCCCACTTAACATAATCCTGGATATGCCTATGTTATGTAGTGTAGGTAATAATGTTTCCTTATAATTGATATTAAGATGATACTATTAAATAAAACATTTAAAATATCAATTCATTTTTTACTTAAGTAAATTGTGTTATTTAGAAGGAAATATTTCTTTTTCCAAGCCCTGAATGGAACTTTTTAAAATTTTATTGAACCCGAATATATTTTGTTGTTGAAGGGTTCCATCCCTGGTAAATAATGACAAATTTCATGTTCTTAAATATTAATGGAACATCAATATTAGAGTGGATTTCAGATCTATATATCAAAATATGGCAAAGAAATCATTGCAAAATGAATGAAATCATTTCAAAAAAAATACAGCCCAAATAGAATGATTTATGGAAGATTTTTTAATAACAAAATAGCATCATTAGAGAAGGAGTCCAGTAAAAAAATTTGAAGAGCCCCTTGAAAATTTGTTAAAAATACTTAAGAGATTATTTTAAAATTATTAGTTAAATTCAAGCTAATTTAAAAAAAATAATAATTTTTGAGCCTCCCTGAGATTGTAAAGCTAGTGACACCAAGTAATCTAACATAACCCATCAAAATTCAGTGTCAGTGTGGGCCAGACCCAAAAACTTGGACAACTTGTACAAATCTATTTTGGAGGCCATCAAAAAAGAGCCATGTGGGAAAAAAACTTTTTCACAAAAATTACAGATCTGCCCATTACTTCTACCTCCTATTAGACTAATTCACCTAAAATAAGGCCTCAGTTTCTTACTTAGATTATATATATATATATATATATTGATAAAAAGTTGCAAGTTTTCACTTGACACAACAAGGCAAGGATCTCCACACCTAATATTAAATAATTTTTAAAGATCTTTCATACCTAATTTTAGCAAACCAAGATTAGATCCAAAGATCAGTGATCCCAATTTTGGCAAATTGCCTTAATCATCAACCCTTTAAAAAAAAGGATCGTGATCTTTTTATTATTAGTTTTGCTCTAAAAAAAATTTTTTAACATATAATAAATACAAAAAAATTTATTAAATTAATATTTTTAAAACAAAAAAACTAGACTTAACAATTTTACGGATCATTGGAAGTTAATTTATACCCCCCCCCCAAATATCAAAGGAATATATTAGATTAACAAAAAAAAATTGATAAGCACTAATGGGCCCAAACTGGCCTGTGGTAAATGGCTTCATCATCTGATAGGAAAAAAAATCTTTATTGTAAAAAAAAGAAATAAGTCCATCTTATGAATTTATATTTATTTATCATTAAAAATTAATTATAAAATTGCCATATTTAAGCTAATAAACATTCATATAAATCCAAAAAAATAGAAATAGGTTTTCAGTAATTTAAGATTGATTATTTAAATAGGATAACATATAAATAATTAATGAATGAAATTTTGATACTTAAAAAAATTAAAATTTGAAGCACTTGATCTTAAAGCTAAAACATAACTATAAGGAAAATTATTTATTATATTTAATAATAAATTTATTATTACATAAAATAAAAATCAACTTACATTATTATACACATTTATCAAATCTTATTAAAAATAATCAATCTTCATATGAAACAAAATATTCTCCAATTTCGGTAATAGCTGCATTTTTCAAAATATCATTTGTAGGATAATTTTGGACTTTATTGTCAGAAAATCGACATGGTTCATCCTCATGGATTTGAAAAAGAGGTTGAATTCCATGGGTATCTATATCCATTAATTTTAATGCAGTTTTTTGGTTGAATTTCAAAATTTGTAATTCTTTAGATTTATGAAAATCTTTACATATCTTTAAAACAGATATATTTTCTAAATAGTCAATCATTTTTTTATCTAATATTTCAAATTCTTTAATATTAATGGAAAGAAATTTTAAATGGTTCTTGACAAAATTTATTTTACAAAGTATTTTAGGCATATTTATGATATATTTTGTCTAATATTTTCTTCTATTGTTTTGTTAATTTTTTTCTCTATTAAATTTTTTGCTTTTTGATCATTAATTGTTTGCAGTTTCTTAGGTGCAATATATCTTTTTCCTTTTGTCAATTCCGTTTTTTTTATATGCTTGGATTTTAATTTAATATCTGAAGGTAATTGCTTTATTTTTAATTTTCCTTGAACCATTATCTAAAAATTAAAATTATTTTATATGGATACTATTAATTAAATACCTTTGTAGAAAAATTTGTGTTTCTTATCAAAAGTATGAGCCACTAACCTATTACAAAACAAACCTATCGTACGTCAAAAATAAACCAGGTTTGACAACGTCGATAGGTTAAGTGAGATATGACAGCTGGATAATGCAAAATATATTTAAACAAGTGACAAAGCGTCCATAGAAGCAATGGAAGATTGCCTCTATTAAATTTTTCTTAAAAACTTTTTAAATTAATATAATTTTTATACCAGTGATGAAACGTGAAGTTTACTAGTAGCAAATCAATTAATTATTTTTACTTACAATATCATATCCTAAAATATTTATAATACCTATTTTCCATTGGGAATAATAGACATAAAGTAGAATAT